GAGTGAAAGTGGTAATTAATTACGTTAATTACGAATTACGTATTTACGGTAATTAGCTAATTACCATATCATGTATAATGCTGATCAGCATTATGTTACATCACCTAATTTTGATTTAATTAGGGCATCTCACACCCCAAGCAAGGATGTTAATATAATCATTTGAATCCATGTTTCCCTCCACCACAATCAAAGGTCCGACACCATGCCAACCAAAACACCCCCAAAACATTACCAAATTTAACTGTAGGTTGAATACAATCCTCTTTATAAGCTTCCACTGGTTTTCTCCATACTCTTACTTGGCCATCTGATTCAAAAAGAGCAAACTTTGACTCACCTGACCATACCACATTTTTCCATTCTTCTTCCCAGTTTTGTTTTTCTCTGCTCCATCTTAGTTGATCTTTTCACTGTTTCTCTGTTAAAAGAGGTTTTTTTTTTGTAGCATAATTACCTAGGCCCTTGTCATGAAGATATTTTCTAACTGTATTATAATGCAAAGTTGTGTTAAGATGAGAATTAAATTTATTTGTTATATCACCAAGAGGGGAAAGTCAGTTATCATGGACAATACATTGTAAATCATGTGTATCACATTGAGTGAGCAGTTTTGGATGACCAGGACATTTTTCAGGTGTTGCAAAACCTGTTTCTTTATACTGTTTGATAGTATCATTTATTGTACTGGTAGGAATATCAAGCTGAGCAGAATAACTTTTTGTTTAATGCCACTAATATATGCACCAATAATTCGCTCATGTTGAGCAACTGGCAGCTCCTTTCTACGCATTTTAAACTAGAAAAGTAATAAAATTAATTTGTTTTGTTATTTTCTTTATTTATATGTAAAATAAGGAGAAATCTGTGATTGTGAAATTGGCATGCAGAATCATGTGACAAAATCCAGTAAATTATTGTAGGCCAGTGTATTTCTCAGTGCAGCAAGTGCAATTGATCTTGATGTTTTACCACTAAAGTTCTACAGTGCAGGACACCTAATCCCGCAACTTACTGCGCCACGACGACGAATTTTGGGAAAAAATTTCCAATCAAAAATGCAATAAAAATTGTTTTGTCATGTGATATTTCCTAGTCATTCCATAAATAGTAAAATCGGCAATAAGAATAAACATTGGGTTACCTAATATGGTTGTGATCATCAACTAAAAATTCAAAAACTTTTATTTTGTTTCAATTTGTTCATTTTTATATATAAGAGAAAAAAAAACTTAAATTTAAACTCCCGGCACTTAAATTTTTTTAAATTTATATAGAGGCTTGCTTTGAACAAATTAATAGGTTTTTGTAGATTTTTAGTAGATTATGAAAAAGCAAGTTCAATACTGTCTATTTCAATTATTATTATTATAATTTAAAAAAAAAAGATTTTCAAAAGGCAGCAAAGTATCATGTTAACTTGTTTGCCACACATATGAATTGATTGACAAAGGATTGCCAATTCCTGTAAAACTAATTCATATCTTTTTTTTAAAACTTTGCTAAATTTTTGTCTGAAATTTTAACACAAAAATATACATATTAATCATACAAATAATCTAAAAAAAAAATTGTACCAAATTTTCTCAGAACTACAACAATAATTTTCGTGTTACAATCAATATTTTGAATCTCAATACCAAATTTGGTAATGATTTTCTTTTAATGTAATATGTTCGTTAAACTTTTTTGTTGTAAATAACTTTTATTAATAAAAAAAAAATAAATAAATAAATCAAATAAATCAAATGTGTATTGTAGAAAATATTCCATGAAAAAAATTGTAACACAAAATTTACTTAGTCTCAATTTCTTAAGTGTATAAAAAAATTCAGAATTTTCAAAATGCTAAGGCTCCAACTGGCCAATTTCAGTTTAAGAAAAAACCAGCTGATAAGTTTTGAAGCTTGAGTCATGAACAATTGTTATTATAAGCAATTAATGATTATAGATAATCTGCACTATAGAATTTTGTCAATTGGAAATAAAGGATTTTGATTATTTTGAAAAACAATTAAAGGTGTAGATTTCTTTAATAATTGCTTTAAAGCCTACATAACAATATGCTTCAAAAATTTCATGTTATAATCTAAGATCTTCCAACTCTCTGGTATAATTTTCATCATATAATTTTGGCTACTTTTTCATTAATGTCAACAAATTTAGATTGAATATATTAGATATCATGCAATCCCATCAATTTTATTATTATCAGTTATTGTTTTCTTTGAAATATTTCCCAAATACTTGCTGTGTAATATTCAAACTGAATGATTTAATATAATAGTTTTGCTCCTCATTATAATTTAGTTTAGGTGATCCGAATTTGATTTATCCAAGTAATTTATTCAAAGCTTCCAAATTATCTGACAGTACTTTCAGTTTTTCTTGCACTTCCTTCAAAGCCAGCATTAGAAAAATTGCTGGAACTGGAATACTGTAACAAAATTTCCAGTTCCAGTTCAGTGCTTCAGTGACTTTTTTCTGGAACACTAATGGAACATTGGAACCAATGGAACCAATAGGTTTTATTTATTTTATTTTTATTTGTTAATGAACAAGCTAAATTAATTTTATTTTATAAATTTTTAATGATTTTTTTCTGAAAATAATGATATGAACTCATTTGGATTTAAATAATCTTGCTAATTTCCATTTGACCTCTTTATTATCAGCTGGATATACCCTATATTTTAACAAAATTTTTAATTCTTCTGAATCATCATCCAAATTCACTTTCATCACTAGTGTCATTAAAAGTATCATCATCCAGTACCTTGAACCAATAACTTGTTTGATGATAAACTGATGTTTCATTATATATATCATCATTTATTTGGATTTATATATGAAATATTAAATGAATTAGAACTTTCAGATGAGGAGGGTGTAATAGATAAATTATCATAATTATCATCCAATTCTGTTGTAAGATCATAAACTAACAAATAAAATATTGCAATTAATCCAATGATAATATAAAATACATGCAATCAACATCAGCATCAACTTCAACTTCTATACTATTATTTAATCTTGATTCAGTTTTTTTTGTTTCATCACTTCTAAATGTGAATTTACTGATTCCAATTTATCTGGATTAATGGTTGCAAAGTTTTCACAATTAATTAGGTATTACCAATAGATGGAACAGTATTAGAAAATTTTAATTGTGTAGCATTATGTAAAGACCATTCCCATCCTTTTATTGTATGCAGGCTTTGCAGATAGCTAAATAATTACTTTTATTAACCATTATCTCTCTTTTTTGTTACAACATATTTTGCAATCATGCAAAGGTTTTCTACCTGTGTCTACTACTCATTTTTTTAAAAAAAAATTTTTGCATTATAATTAATGTAAGCAAAGCCACAAACAAGATGAACATCTAAAAAATGGTCAAAATATAATTTTGTGAAAAATTGACATCTGTCATAAGTCTGACCCAAATTATATAGTGGCAGCGACATTACCCATATTTATTTCATTATTACAGATATTAAAATAAAATTTACACAAATTTTTCATTGGTTCCAATGGTTCCAATGGTTCCAATGTTCAATTCCAGTGATTTTCCCACTGGAACTGGAAATTCTCAACACTGTTCAAGACAGGTAGAAGATGACAACAATAGCGGCGCAGCATGGTGGAAGTTGATTTTATTGGATATAAAATGTGACAAAATAAATTTAGGTTTTTACCAAAATTAGAAAATTTTAGATTTATATGGAATGTGCAATGTTGATTACAGCAAAAAAAAATTTAATTGATAATATCAGAGACAATTTATTAGAAAAATCAATTCTTGAGAATTAATAATTTAATTTTTAATTAATATGGTTTTTATTAAATTGTCATAATTTTATTCATATATTTTTTTTTTATTTTCTGCAATAAAATCATCATCCCTGTTTGTATCATATGACAAAGTTAGAAGTCACATGAAAATTGATGAAATAAAAATTATATAAAAATACCACAAGTTTTATATTGAAGCTAGGAATAATTTAATATTAAATGGCCGGCCAATAATCGTGCAACGCAAATTATAGTGAAAATCACCTGTCTATAGTTCACTGCCCTTAAATATGCAAACACATTTTGAAAATCGAATCATTGATACCTATGAGCGTGCTCTTAAACGTGGTGAAGTCTATTTCATGGAAAGCAGGGTAGTAAAAATTGTTGAGATAGACATAGAGGTGAATTATTAAAATAAAAACATACTATATATGCATCATTGTAAAAAGTAAATGTTTTCATAACCTTTACAGTTTGAAATAAGACTTGCTCCTAGTTTAGCCAACAAACCTATTGGTACAACCGATAAAAAAAACAATGAACAAAAACCAAAGGTGGATCCTTTTTCTCCTTACAGCGAAGACTTGTTTGTACAAGAGTATGGCAAACATGTGATTTTATTAAACAAATATTGCATAGTTCCTTATCATCTTGTGATAGCCACTAAAGGTATCTGTTTTATAAGTTATGTACACTTATTTATTGTTTAAAATTACATTTATTTGATGATATTTTTTATTTTTATGAAATAAAGAATTTGAAAAACAAACCAATCCTCTTAATCCTGAAGATATGGCTTCCATATGGTTTTGTATAATGCATAATAAAAGTCAACCAACTCTTGTCTTTTTCAATTGTGGCGAATTGTCAGGAGCAAGGTACATTTATAGTTTCTTATATTTGTTTAAAATTTAAAAAATAATTTTAAGATTTATCTAATTTATCAAATTAATGCAGTCAACCACATAAACATATTCAAGTTATTCCTTTACCAAGTGAAGCCAGATTTACTCCACCAATCAGCTCATATATATATAGAGCCCAAAACAGAAAACCGGGTAAAGTATCATTTTAAAATATTCTATTATGTATATTTTTTAAAATTAAAAAAAAACAATTACTAAAATTTTATATATATATAAAAGGTGAAATCTTTGAATTTGAAGATTTACCCTACATTCATTATGTAGTTTTATTAGATCCAAAACAAATTAGTGAAAGACACCATCAACATCAACATGGAAATTATGAAGAAGTTGGTCAATATCTCTCACAAAATTTTCATTCGTTACTCAATAGAATGCTCAAAGATTTTAATACCAATCATAAAAATGTTATTAAAAATGATTATTTTCATATTTCATATAATTTTATTATGACACATACATGGATGATGATGGTGCCTAGGCGTTCTGAAAAATATGAATATGTTTCAATAAATTCTCTTGGATTTGCTGGAATGCTACTTGTAAGGAATGAAGAAGAATTAAAGTTTGTTAAAACTGTTGGTGTAATGAAAATTTTGGAAAATGTTGCAATTCCTAAAAAAAATCAGTAATTAGATTGGAAATAAAAATTTTGTTTACATCTTGTCTATTATTTAATTAAAAACACTTCAATTATTTATTTATTTTGTATTTTTTAATTTGATCTAAATTAATATTACAGTTATCAATTTTAAAATATTCTGGCATCCTAAAAATTTTGAGGTTTTAGTAAATTAAAAGTTTAAGATATATGGAGCCTCTTCTAGAAACTGAATCATATGTAGTTAATAATTACATAATCTTATATATTCTGTAACTACTTGGCTAGACTATGAATATACTAGAACTAAAGTATGTGTCTACTAGGTAGGTATGAATATGATCCTAGTAGGTTGCATTGTATGTTGTGCTGGTACCCTTTCTCTCATTTGAGGTCATGTACATTGATGTTGTTACATCACTGTGTGGCAAAGTTGGCCACATATAAAGTTGGTGTCTGTAACTG